CAGAGAAACCCTGTCTTGACACTCCCCCCAGAAAAGTTCCACTTAGAGCTTGTGGACTTCCAAAACTCAGTAGCTTACATTGCCATAAAGTATACAAAGTGAGGCTGGGTGGTTGGTGACATGTCTTCAATTCCAACATTTGGGATGCAGAGGCAGGCGGATCTCTGTGAGTTCGAGACCAGCCTGGTCTACAGAGCGAGTTCCAGGACAGCCTCCAAAGCCACAGAGAAACCCTGTCTCGAAAAAACAAAAACAAAAACAAAAAACCAAAAAAAAACAAAAAACAAAAAACAAAAAAACCTAGTTGGGTATGGTGGTACATGCTTTTAATCCTAGCAGTCTGTGAGGCAGAGGCAGGCAGATTTCTGAATTCAAGGTCAGTCTGGTGGTCTACAGAGCAAGTTCTGTAGTGAGATAGCCAGGTCTACATACCCGTCCTGTCTCCAAAAAACCAAACCAAAACAACAGAAAAATTCCTTGTTTGACATCATCTCCCCCCACATCCATAGTTGATTAGCTTAAAAAAAAATCTCTTGCTGGGTGGTGCTGGCTCAGGCCTTTAATCCTGTACTCAGGAGGCAGAGGCAGGTGGATCTCTGTGAGTCTGAGGCCAGCCTGGTCTACAGAATGAGTTCTAGGACAACCTCCAAAGCTACAGAGAAACCCTGTCTGGAAAACAAAACCAAACACAACATCTCTCACCGGGTTGGTGAGATGGCTCAGTAGGAAAGGTGCCTGTCGCTTAGCCTGGTCTTGTAGAGGACACAGTCTGCTTCCCAGCACCTGTACATGGTGGCTCCACCTCCCAGGGGTCCAATACCCTCTTCTGGCCTCTGTGGACATCTTCACTCAAGTGTACCGACTCACATAAAGATACACATATAAGTAAACAAAACAAAACAAAAAACCCTATTTATCATTTTCTTTTCAATTCAGTGAGCTGTTTCTTAATCTTTCCAGGATATTCTAGTATCTCAACTGACACAGAGGATTTTTTCTTCAGGATAAAGAGAATTAGCCTTTATGGGGTGGAGTTAAAAAAAATCAAGCTTCTTAAAACGAGCATCTTTTATGTGATTCTTGTTATTATCCCAGTGTTTACAAACACACCCTTCTTGTGTCTCTCACACCATCTGAGATCCCCAGAGTTTCCCAGAGGTGGCCTCACAAAGCAGCCACTAAGGGATGAGCAGTGAGCCTGCTGTTCCCAGCAGCTGGTAGTCTTAGTATAAAATGAGCTCTAGTTCCTGCATACAATAACGTTACAGAGATCACTAGATGTTCAAAGAGAAATCAATTGTAGCAGGATGCCATTTCAAGCCGTATCTACGTTACTCAATTCTCACATCAGTTAACCTTACTTTACAGTTGGCAAATAACTTCAAATAAGAGAAGTTGAGTTTGCTTCACCTGGGAGAAATCTCTCTCTCTCTCTCTCTCTCTCTCTCTCTCTCTCTCTCTCTCTCTCTCTGTCTCTCTCTTTCTCTCTCTGTCTCTCTCTCTGTCTCTCTCTCTGTCTCTCTCTCTCTGTCTCTCTCTCTCTCTCTGTCTCTCTCTCTCTCTCTCTCTCTCTCTCTCTCTCTCTCTCTCTCTCTCTCTCTCTCTCTCTCTCTCTCTCTCGCCTTGGTAGAAATGTAAACTGAGACCCTGTCTACCCAGAAGCCCCCACTTTACAGGGAAAAGTACGCTGCAGCTCACAGAGCAGCTGGCCTTGCCCCCAGGTCACACTGACAACTGGAGACAGAGCCAGGGTTAGAACCTGAGGCACTAGAGATAACACCGGGAACAGACATACTGTGACAGGAATCTAGAGAGAATCAAAGCTTTTGATTCAGGAGGAATTTAGAGTTGAGCTGGGCTTTTAAAGTATAAGGGTAAAGACGCTGAGCAAAGACTACCCCGCCCCCATTCTGAGCAAAGCAGCAAGTGGAAGCCACAGTCAGCTGAGTGGGGTCAGTTCCCACAGAGCCAGAGAGCAGCAGGAACCCTGCACGCCTGATCTCCTGTGACCTGCTCTGCTCACACATCCTACTCTCAGGCTGACTGCAGGTCTCCTAACAAGTACAAAAGATGGCTGGAAACAAAACAAAACACTGAGTACACTTTTGTAACTGAATTACACAAGATTCCTTAGGTAAGATATTAAAAGTACAACCAAGTTTTGACTTCATTAAAATTAAAACCTTTTCATCAGAAGTAAAAAAGGAGCTGGAGGGATGGCTCAGTGGTTAAGAACACTGGCTGATCTTCCAAAGGATTCAGGTTCAATTCCCAGCACCCACAAGACAGTTCACAACTGTTTGTAACTCTAGTCCCATTTTCTGGTTTCTGGGAGCCCTGAACAGACATACATGTGGGGAAAAACACCTATACAAATAAAATAAAATGAACAAAACCTTAAAAAAATGAAAAAAGTATGGTGGACACATACCTAGGTGTGTTGGGTCTCTGTGAATTCAAGGCCAGCCTGGTCCATAGAGACCTGAGTCTGGTCCTTGGGACCCACACGGAGGAAGCGGAGAACTGAATCCCATAAAATGTCTTCTGACCTGATACACGAATGTAATTTAAAAATTAAAAATAATGGCAAACCAATTATATAAAGTCTTCTGACCTAATACATAAACGTAATTTAAAAATTAAAATAATGACAAACCAATTATAGAATGGGCAAGGAATGAGAAAAAATATTCCTCCAAAGAAGGTACACAGATGGCTGGTAAGCACAGAGCATGATGCCCATACTGTCAGCCACTGGGGAGTGCAGAGTGAAACAAGGAGAGGGCACAGCACGCCTAACAGATCTGCATCACAGGTGTCAGACAGGGTGTACGGCAGCCGCTCCTGGGACCTGTCCGTGGCAGAGCTGCTAGGAAAATGGTTCACTCATTTCTAAAAAGCTATCCTGTGGCTACCACATGACCTGGCAATCCCCTTCTATGTACATTCCTAAGAGAAATTAAAGTATACAAAAAGAGGCATCCAGTTGTTCACAACAGCACTGTTCATAATAGCACAAAGCAAACACCCCCAAAGGCCATCACTGATGGGAAGATGAGCCAAATAAGGCATAGCTACATAGTAGATCCTACTCAGCTACACATGAAGGAAATACCAATCCACACTATAGTGATACCTTGTTTATACTATAACAAATAAAGCTTGCCTGAAGATCAGAGGGCAGAGCTAGTTAACCATAGAGATCTGGAGTTCTATACAGACAGACAGGAAGTGAGATGGCTGGGCAGAGAGGAGGTGGTAAGGCGGGAGGAGAAAGGCTCCGTCCCTTTTCAGCATGCTAAGTGGATGAAGGAGACACAAAGGGGCACAGTAAATGATTTCATTTATATCAAGTATCCAAAGACAGAACTATATGGAGGAAGTAAATGAAGCAAATGAGGCATTTCCAAAGGCTAGGGAGGAGGAACAGGCAGTTTCCTTTTGGGGGAAATGAAGAAGTCTCAGAATTGGATAGGAAGGAGTGAGTTCATAGATACCATTTCCCCAGCCCTATTAAGCTTTACCTGGCCCTAGGGCTCCCGATTTCTTTCTTTGTTGTTCCCTGTGGAAAGCCATTGGCTGTCACATCTAAAGGATGCTCAGGAACAGCACTCCAGCTGATAGCTATGAAGAGAGGAATCCTGGGGTTAAAACTCATATATCAGTGCTGCCCTCAACCTTGGCCAGAGAATTTTCTTTCTGAAGTGGGCAGCAATTAGTACAGACTCCTAACTGGTTACCACATTGAGAGTAAGTATCTACTGAGCGCTCATCCCTTAGTGGGACACTTGTATCAATCCCCACCCCCAAGGCTCATCGAACATCACAGAAGAGGTAGAATGAATGAGAGAGCTGGAGTGCTGTGAAATGTTGTTCTCTGGACATTTGATGGCTGCTGCACTCAGGAGCTTATTGTAGCTATGGTTACCTGCAAAAGATCCAGCTAAGATGAGCCAACATTTCAACAGACAGCACTGATTGAACTCAGAAGGCTACAAAACAACAAAAATAAAACAAAAAACCCAAACCAAGCCAATGAGAGAGAGAGAATGAGAGAGAGAGAGAGAGAGAGGGGGGGAGGGAGGGAGGGAGGGAGGGAGGGAGGGAGGGAGGGAGGAGAGAGGACAAACACATAAACACATAAATGAAACAGGGAGGGTGATATGTTGGGAGTGTCTGGGGAGAGTTGGGGTCAAAATAAAAGATAAAAACCTGTTTATTTTCCTATGAATGTTACAACACTTTCACAAAAGTATTTCTCTGACTCTACAGCACCATGAAAGTTGGATATGACATCAAAAACAAGTTGAGTCTGGTGCTTGGTTCCTCAGAGTTCAATGATATCAAATGGCTCGTGATTTTTTTCTTTTTCTTTTTTTTCGAGACAGGGTTCCTCTGTGTAGTCCTGACTGTCTTGGAGCTGGCTCTGTAGACCAGGCTGGCTTTGAACTGGAAGATTCTCCTGCCTTTGCCTTCGAGTGTTGGACTTAATGACTTGTGCCACCAGCACGCAGTGGTTTATGATGATGATTATTATTTAGCTCATCACTCGATGTTTATTATACTTATTTATCGGGGAGGCATGTGTATGTCAGGGTGCATATGTGGAGGACAGAGGACAACCTAGGGGAGTTAGCTTCTTTGCTTGACTATGTGGACTCCACTTGAGTTATCAGGTTTGTTGGCAAGTGTGCCTTTACCTGCTAAGCCATCTCACTGGCTCCTAGCTTACAATTTCATCGAAAATGTATCACATGCTAGACACAGAATAAGTGTATAAATATAATTTCTTAATTCTCATAATAGCCATGACAAGCAATATTCTTGTATTCTGAAAATAAAGAAGGCAAGACAGGGTAACTAACCTGGCCAGGATCTCACAGGGCACACACTTCCCCTTATGTGGGTATCTTCCAAGGAACACACTGGAGTTACCACTGACCGCCTAGAACTGTCTGTCAAAACAGTTACTCCAGGGTCAACCAACATGAACCCCTTACCTGCCCCACAGGGAACGAGGCGGCCTGGTGTGTCAGCAGCTCTTTGCTCTTGCACTGCACAGCGGCTCTGTTCAAACAGTAAACCCGACTGCTCTATTTTCAGTTCTGGAACTCCAAAGCCTCTGGGTAAAGCCAAGACCTCCTGACACCTAGATATGGGGGAAATGCAGTCAGTTCCGATGTACCCTAAGCCTTAGGAGAGACAAAGGCTCTTGGAGCCGAGTGAATCTGTTTACTTATTGAAGTGGGGAGCAAAGAATGCCAGGATACCACACAGGAGAAACCTTTAATTTTATTATTTATTTATTTGAGACGGGATCCCAGCTAGCCTGGTGTGGTTCTAAACCTGATATACAGCAAAGAATGACCTTGAAATTCTGATCCCCCTGCTTCTACCTCCTGAGTGCTGGGATTACAGGTGTACACTGTAACCTACCCTGCTTTATAAGGTGCTGGGGATCAGAGAGCCTTATGCCTGCTAGCAAGCAGTCACTACCAACTGAGCTATATCCCCAACCCCTGCAGGAATGTCCGGAAAAAGATCGCACCTTACCAGGTCTGAAGACATAACTAAAAACGGAGTTAATACCCACCTGTGGTGTCAGAAACCTCAAGCTTCATTCTTCACTTCAGAAACTTAAACTTTACCTTGTTCACACAGGCTTGCTAAGAAATCCTTCAAACATACCCCAAGCTAAAATCACCCCATACTGTAAGTTGGCTCCCCCCTCCCCTGAACAAGCCAGCTGTTCAAGTGATGCAGATTCAATGCACAGACAGGAACTTCCGATCGATCTCAAGAGCTTTATAACCATCAGCAGCTTCCACGGCTCTCCATTCCCTTTTCCAGGCCCCGGCAACCACCGACCACCATGCATCTCGATGTGCTTGCCTTTTGTGGTTATTTCACATCAAACATGCACGGCTTATTTCACTTACCATGGTTTTTAAGGGTTCACTCATGCTGTGGCATGAATCAGCATACTAGTCTTTTATTTATTTATTTATTTATTTATTTTTCACAGCACACTAGTCTTTTTCTTTTTAATTGGATCTCATGTAGCCTTGACCTTAATGTAATTTCTGATCCTACTATCCAAGTGTTGGGATTACAGGCTGAGCACCACCATGTTTGGTACTCCAATCCTTTCTAACAATGAACAGTATTTACTTATTTGTTTGAATACACTGCTTTTCTTTATTTTTCCTTCTTTCCTTCCTTCCTTCCTTCCTTCCTTCCTTCCTTCCTTTCTTTCCTTCTTTTTTTTTGTTTTTTGTTTTCTTGAAACAAGATTTCTCTGTGTAACAGTTCTGGCTGTTTTGGAACTCACTTTGTAGAACAGGCTCATACAGATCCAACTGCATCTGACTCCCAAGTGCTGGGAATAAAGACCTGCGCTGTTACACCCAGAGATACATTGAATCTTACTCATGTAAATATTGATAAACATTTGGGCAGCTTCTGTTTGGGGCTACTTCCAGCATGCTGCCAATAAACATCTGTGTGTTTTTGTGGGAATGTACTTTTTCACTTCTCTTGGGTGCCTGCCTAGGAGTGGGAACACTAGGTCCCGTCAGGGGTGCCACTTTTGGAAGCTGCTTCCCAGGCTTTCATGTCCCCATGATATCTCTCTAACCCTCATTTACTACAGCCTACATCAGAGTGGTCATCCATTCTTGTTTTTTTTTTTTTTTGATTTTTGAGACAGGATCTTTGTTTATTTTGCCAAGATTTAGAATCTTGCTATGAAGCCCAGACTGGCCTTGAACTCAGAACCCCCTTTCAGCTTCCTGAGTATTGGAATTAAAATTAATATTTGTTTTTTTTGTTTGTTTTTTCTTTGAGACAGGGTTTCACTGTGTAACCCAAGCTGTCCTGAACTCATTATATAGTCCAGGCTGGTCTCAAACTCACAGAGATCTGCCTGTCTCTGGCTCCGAGTGCTGGGATTAAAGGCGTGAGCCACCAACGCCTGGCTTTGTTTCTGTTTTTTGTTTGTTTGGTTTTTGGTTTTTTGACACAGGGTTTCTCTGTGGCTTTGGAGGCTGTCCTGGAACTAGCTCTTGTAGACCAGGCTGGTCTCGAACTCACAGAGATCCACCTATCTCTTGCTTTTTTTCTTTTTGAGACTGCATTCATTTAACCTAAGCTGGCCTCATACTCCCTATGTAGCTAAGGGTTACCTTGAATTTCTGATCTTCCTGCTTCCTCCTCACAAATGCTAAGATTAAAAAAGTCTATGTCTTCATGGTCAGTTTTATGCAGTGCTGAAATTCAGCCCAGGACTTCATTCAAATTAGGTAAGCACTCTTCCAACTGAGATACATTCCCCAGCCCTGGCAATTATTCTGCTTACTGTAGAAGTCCACAGTAGAAAAATGATAGTGTACAACATTAACAAAGAAGAAAAACAGCCCACAACACCATGACTCAGAGATAATTATCGATACACAGCCTCCTACAGCTCTCTGTGCACATACATATTTTAAGACCAAGATGGAGCTCACTTCATCTTCTAAATTGCTCTTTAAACATCTTTATACATTAAATATTCATCAGTACTATTTTTAACAAAAGATATAACTTAATTTCCAACTGCAGAGCATTTCTGGTTTCCTTTTCTTTTTAGTTACTGTATTTACTAAACAGAAGACCTATACTTTCTTAATTATGCCGAGTCCAGGGTGGGGACTTCTTTGGTTCTCTGCCCACCTTCTACTGCCCTCCCCACTGCCTCTCACCTGCCAGTCAATGCTCTCCTCATGGCTTCCTGGCTGTATGGGCACTTCCCAATGACCACAGCTGACAGGTAGATGGGTTCTTCCAGGAAGTGCATTAGCAGTGCACCCTGGCATCCAAGGACATTCCACCTTGCCATCTTGTCACTGCAGGACATGGAGCATGTCCTGTCTCCCCTGCCGGGCTTTACCCGAAGCAGCCCCACCTGGTGGTAGGCAACACCTGGCTTTCTCAAGTCTCCAGTTTCTCCAGGAACACACTTGGCGCCTGTCCTATACACATCCACCACCTTGAAACTACCTGGAGCTACTGCATTGGCAGTATCCAGTTCCTCCTTGGTGAGATTGGAGCTGCTTACATCTGGTTTGATTGTACCACTTTCCTGTGTCCCGTGGTGAGCTATGGAGTTGGACAGCATCATGGAGGAGGTTCCAAGCCTCATCTTCTTGGCTACAGAACTGCCAGGGTCTTCACAGTCCCTTTTATTTTTGGAATCCTCTAGATTATCACTCTTTTTGGAGTCCTCTAGATTATCACTCTTTTCTACAGGTGAGTTGTTGGCCCAATTTCTGATGACAGGGCAGCAAGGTTGTTCTTCAAACTCAAGCATTGGAATGATGGAGGCATCCCCACCTGCATGAGAAGGCACATTTTAACCAGTAATTCTCAGAATGAGTCTTCCCAACCAGTGACACTAATGTCCCCCAGGGAGTAGAAATGCAAACTGTGAGGCTGGAGATAGCTCAGTGGCAGAGTGATAGCCTAGCATGCAGGACATCCTGAGTTCAATCTTCAACACCGTGTGTAATAATGGACATTCTGAATCAGAAACTCTGAAGGTGGGGCCCAGAAGTCTGACTTACTAAGCTGAGTAGGCCATTCTGAATCATTGCCTCAACCTGAGGTCAATTTGTTTTCCCTGCTGAACTGAGATGAAGTAAGAGGCCTAAGCTCAGTAGTAAAGCACAGGTCAATGAGCATAAAGCCCAGGCTTGATTGCAACCACCATTAAAAAAGGAACAAGTAAATACAAAACCAAAAACTGCACACACATGCAGATATGTACATACTGTGGTACATGTATGAAGGTCAACGGACAACTGTGGGTGCCTTCCTCTTGTTCCCTGTTGCATATGCCAGCAATCCATTTTGTCCTGAGTGCTAAGACTACAGATGTGTGCTAGTGTGTCTGGCTTTATGAGGGTTCTAGGAATGCAAACTTAGGTTGAATGCTTGTATGGCAAGCACTTTGCACATGAGACCTCCACAGACACCCTTCTTTCTTCAATACTAAACTAACACTAGAGCTGGAGAGATGGTTAATAGCACTTGCTGTTCGTCCATGGGCCCAGGTTCAGTTCCAAGCATCCATATCAGGTGGTTTATAACCTCCTATAATTCTAGTTTAGGGGATCTGACACCCTGGTCTCTGCTGGCACTTTTATGCATGTGGTACACATAAACTCACATAAGCACACACATATTCGCACAACAATAAGTAATACATCTTAAAACATTAACTAGATATGCATATATAAACAAACAAAATCCCATGCCTGTGCTAACGTTCTAATAAAAATTGCTGAGGTCACCCAGGCAGTGATGGAGCATGCCTCTAATCACAGTATTTGGGAGGCAGAGGCAGGCGGATCTCTGTGAGTTTGAGGTCAGCCTGGTCTACAAAGTGAGTTCCAGGACAGCCTCCAAAGCCACAGAGAAACCCTGTCTCGAAAAAAAAACCAAAAAAAAAAAAAAAAAAAAACAACCAAAAACCAAAAAAACCCAAAATCAAAAACAAACAAACAACCTAAAAAACAAAGCCAAAAACAAAACCAGCACCCCTTTCCTAGAGTTAAAACTTCTTGATGAGAGAATTAAAGAAAACTGAATATTTAAACAAAGGTCTCAGGTAACTTCTACCACAAACACTGGCTTAGACCAGGGTTTTCCAATCTCCACACTCATGAAATTTTTGTTTGTTTTCTCTTTTGAGACAAGACAGTCTGTAATGCACACTGGCTTCAAACTCCCTATTAGGTGAGGATGGCCTCAGATTCCTGAACCTCCTGTCTCTGCCTCCTAAGTCCTGGGATTACAGGTGTGTCACCATGCCTGGGGACAATTAAACTGTGAGCCAGGTAATTATTAGCAGGAGTCGATCCTGTATGACAGCCACTATGATACCTCTGTACATGTGTGGAGGTCAAAGGACAACAAGTGTTTCCAGAGCCAGTCTGGCTGCACACACATGTAATTACTGAAACTATCCTCAGCTAAGAACTACAGTTTTAAGGGAAATCTTTAAAAAAAAAAGGCATTTTAAAAAAGTGTGTTGTCAAGCCACGAGGTGGTGGTTCATGCCTTTAATCCCATCACTCAGGAGGCAGAGGCAGGTGGATCTCTGTGAGTTTGAGGCCAGCCTGGTCTACAGAGCGAGTTCCAGGACAGCCTCCAAAAGAATACAGAGAAACCCTGTTCTGAAAAACCAAAAAAAAAAAAAAAAAAAGTAAGTGTGTTTGTCTCACATTCACATGTATGCAGGTGTCTACAGAGGCCAGAAGAGGGAGGGTCTTGGATCCCATGAAACGGGACTGACAGGCAATTTTGAGCTGCCCAACATGGGTGCTGGGAACTGAACTCGTACTCTCTAGAAGAGCAGTAAGTGTCTTTAACCATGAGCCCCTCCCCCTGCCTTGGACAAAGGCTTGTCTTGTGAAGCTGAGGGCACAAGCAAATCTTGGGTACTGGGCAAGCACTCTAGCCTGAGGCACCCCCAGCCTTCTAACGACTGATTTGCAATGAGAAAAGTTTCCTGAGGCATTGTGTGGACTAGTATGCTGGAAGATGCCTTGGAAAACAGTAGTGGCTTATCTCATGGTTGAGTAAATCTGACAAACATTCTTCAAAATCATCTTAGGGATTTTATGATGTATATTCCCACAGTAAACCCCTGCCCCAACACACACACACAAAACCTCAAAGTTCAGTCGAAGTTCAGTCCACACCAGTGTTTCTAAAACCCCCAGCATTTCCCTTTGCTGGTTTACAGATGTCTGATCTCTTCTGTGCCCACTGGAACAAAGAAAACCCGAGGTCAGGGAAAGCACAGCGCTCCCTGGAGAAGGGAGGTATTTCTTCAAACACCAACCCAATGTGTGCTGCTGTTCCAGTGTGGAAAGAATAGACTTTTAGTCTTTATAACCAGAGAGTGGGAAAGGCAAGAGAGATACAGAAGGAGAAATGTCACAGGAGAGGCTGCCTGGCTGATTTCCAGAGACCTTACAAGGTGACAGCAACTTTGCAGAATTCACTGGGGTCCACCTCCTACTCTGTAGGCTCGGAGATGTGATCTTGACAAAACAACTGAGTGCAAGAGGCTGACTCACACTAATAAAACACAACAGTAAGAATCTAAAGTAGCTAACCAAGACACCAGATTATGAATTAGTAATAAGAAGTGGATGTCAAGGGAGCCAGAGTCACATTTGCAGTGTGCTTCCATCCTACAGACAAACCGTGGTGGGGGGTGGGGGGACATGGTGAAAGACTACTCATGAACGAAGGGAGTTATATCAGTGACTGAAGACTTTTTTCTAGCAAAACAGTTTCCAGAGTTTTTAAGACTAACGGAGGGCTGCCAACTGCTTAAGATCTTTAAAAACGAAAGCCAATTACCACAATTAGCAAAGGAAGAGCCTCCACCCACTCCACAGCTATTCTTCCTCCCACTTCTTAGCACACAGCGTCATCACTCTTCCAAAGGGGAAACCTGGAAGTCATCTTTGTGTCCTCCTCCTCCTCCACAACCGTGAAGTCTGAGCAACTGTCCCCTAAATCTCTCTCACATCCACTCAGCTGTCTATCTCATTAATGACCTCTACCCTCCCCCAAACCATCACTCTGCCACTTAGAAACAAAAGAAACCTCTCTTGAGCTTTACTTTTAAATATCTACTACACAGTCTTCTTTCTCCTTGCTGTGCAGATGTTCACAGATCAGCACATCCCTGAGCTCCCAGACTGTGTCGTTTGTTAGCCGGCTGGCACCCTGGATATGTGGTCCAGGTCTTCACTCACCTGAAGCAAGCACATTGCCACCGAGCTCTCTCCCCAGCCCCTTATTCACTGCTTTATACTTAGCAGGCCCTATTCTGTCTGAGCAACGAGCACCTGGTCATGACAGGCATGGTGGCACACTCCTGTAACCTTGAGAGTTCAAGGCAAGACAGGCGCATCTTTAAAAACACAAAATCTCTGGGGGGGTTGTGGAGCATGCCTACGTTACTAGTACTTGGGAGACCAAGGTGGTAAGTTTGCTGAAGGTCAAGGCCAACATGGGCTACATACTAAGTTCAAGGCCAGCCAGAGCAACTTAGCAAAACCTGTCTCACAGGCCATTGATATGGCTCAGTGTGTAAGGGTGCTTGATGCCGAAAGAGCTGTGAGTTCTACCTTTAGACCCCACCTAGTGCAAGCAGAGGGTTAACTAGTACAGGTTGTCCTCTGACCTCCACATATAATACGGGGGCACATGTATATGCACACAGTCTCTCTCTAAATGTATAAATTTAAAGAATCTGTCTCCAATGAATAGATGAATGAATGAAATGGGCTTTAGGATTACTTACTGTAGTAAGACTTTGGGCTTTTGAACCTCATTAATTACATTGTATTTTGTAGGGGTTAAACCTGAAACTGCCCAATCTTGATTTTGAGAACTAACAGTATGAGACTTCACCCCTCCCTTGCTTTCCCCCAGGAGAAATGTGATTATGTATATAACCACCACCATTAGTTATAGTTATATTCAGCCAGAAATTTTTGAAGAAATCTCTCTATGAGCAAGATAAGCATAAGAGGGCTGGGGAGATGGCTCAGAGGTTAAGAGCACTGCTTACTCTTCCAAAGGTCCTGAGTTCAATTCCCAGCAACCAAATGGTGGCTCACAATCATCTACAATGAGATGTGCTGTCCTCTTATGTCCTGCAGACATACATGCAGAACACTGTGTACATAATAAACAAACAAACAAACAAATAAATAAATAAAAGACAAGCGCTGGGCGGTGGTGGCACTTGCCTTTAATCCCAGCACTTGGGAGGCAGAGGCAGGTGGATCTCAGTGAGTTCGAGACCAGCCTGGTCTACAAGAGCTAGTTCCAGGACAGCCTCCAAGCCACAGAGAAACCCTGTCTCAGAAAAACGGGGGGGGGAGGATACGCATAAGAAAGCAGTCAGTGCAACATTACTCTTAAGGCTTGACTCTACTTACAGGGTGTGTGGCTGGAGAAAAACACAAAAGACAGGTCAGGTCTGAGCTTCCACAGTCCTCTTTGAGTTCCTGGCACAAAGATACTATCCTCTTTCAGGACGGCTGCCAAATGGAGCTGGTGGAGAAGGTATCTGAGGGTGCAAGATAGGAGACGGAGCTCAGGTTACTTTACATACAAACTGCAGGCCTAGCGTATGCCACCCTTGGCTTGACTCCCAGCACCATCAAATTAGTTAAATGGAGGGAAAAGAATAAACAAATTTCTGTGGTAAAGAGAGCTCTCTGGCTGGGTGATTACAGTAGAGCGACGAGACTGGTAGTGACCTGGCATCATGATGACAGAAATGGGTCCTTTGTAAAGGTCAGGAAGATCTCAGGCTCTGCCATCTTGCACAATCCCAGCCCTGTGCTGGGGTCTGAACCCAGAGGCCTGATGTGCTAGGCAAGACTCCATTACTAAGCTTACACCCTGCCCACAGAAACCTGGGTTTTTCGTTTGTTTGATTTTTTTTGTCAAGACAGGGTTTCTCTGTCTAACAGCCTTGGCTGTCCTGGAACTCGCTTTGTAGACCAGGCTGGACTCAAACTCATGGAGACCCACCTGCCTCTGCTTCCCGAGTGCTGGGATTAAAGGGGTGTCTCAGCACACCTGACAAGAAACCTGGGTGTTAACAGGTGATTTTGAGGCACACTGAAGAACCACTATCTGGACTCTGGTAGTTCAGAGAGAGACGCAATCTACATTAGCTTTGAGTTTATTAGAAATCGAACCCCACTTCCCAGACACGTTCAACCAAGACTCTTGGGGGTTATGCTTTTACCTCTGAAAACTCCTTCTGGCTATGATCTCAGCATGGCTGTCATTGAGGATGTCTCCTGTGGCAAAGACAGGAGATATGGAGTGAATGAGGACTGGGATCTGTAGAGGCTGGCAGGATATAGCAGTACCTGGCCAACACTCAGGATGGCCATGCTACCTCATGGAGGGCTTTGTGAGAGGGTGTGACAGTCATTAGTGGCGATGAACTTGCAGTTTGAGTTTCTCAACATCAGGGACCATAAAATTCTTTGTTGTCGGGGAAAGCCTATAAAATATAGGATGAGGGTATGTGGTGGCACATGTCTTTACCCAGCACTAAGGAGGCATAGGCTGGTGGATCTCTATGAGTTCAAAGCTAGACTCTCTCTCTCTCTCTCTCTCTCTCTCTCTCTCTCTCTCTCTCTCTCTCTCTCACACACACACACACACACACAAACACACTACATAGAGAGACCCTGTACAGGATCCTTTATCCAGAAGATTCCAAGAATACCCCATCTCATGTGGTAATGACCAAAAATAATCTGGACAATGCCAAATGTACCTTGGGTACAAAATTGCTTTTGGTTGATAGGTTCATGGTAGTGCCTGTAGTCCCTGGCTTAGGGATACCATGAGTTTGAGGCCAGTCTGAACAACATAGAAAGTTCTAGATAAACCTGGGCTACATATTGAAATCCTATCTCAAAATACTAAACAAACAAAAACCAAATAGATGAAACAAAACAAAAAATATCTCTAGTTGAGATTTATTGAGATAATTTTTTGAGTGATTGGGGATTGAATCTAGTGCCTTATGCAGCTAGGCAAGTGTACTGCCCCTGAGCTATCTCCCCAGATTCTTTTGATTTTTTAAAAAAGATATCTTATTATATTTTCATTTATTTAATCTGTATATATGTGCCATGTGTGCACATGTGATACAACATTCATGTGGATAGAGGTCAGAGGACAATTTAAAGCAGTCAGTTTTCTCCTGGGAATCAAACTCAGGTGACAGTCAGGGTCTCCCTGTGCAGCTCTGACTGGTGTGGGCTCCTCCACAGAGATCTACCAGACTCCGTCTCCCAAATGCTGGGCTTAAAGGCATGTACCATCGACTCTGACACTTTATTTATGTATTTATTTATTGAGGCAGGCTTTCTTTGTGTAACTGGCTGTCCTGGAACTAGTTCTACAGACCAGGCTGGCCTTGAACTCACAGAGATCCACCTGTCTCTGCTTCCTGCTGGATTAAAAACATGAGCCACCAACCCTGACATGGGGACTCTCCAAGCTGGTTAAGCTCTTCAGCTCTATCTGTAGCCGCAGGGATTGCAGGCTTGTGCCACCTGGCTACAGAAATCCTGCATCTGTAAACCAGGGATGGCGATATCTCAGACCATGGTATTGTATTCATGCTTTTGGCGACACATTTCCATAGTGGGTCCGAGATAGTTCCCTCATATACAGGAGACACAGCATGGAGAACGGAAGGGAATTCCACATTCCTGATGATGCCAAAGGTCTATTTAACTCAAGACTGCTTTGTGGGGCTTCAGAAACCAGTTGGGCTGCTGCTACTCAGTCTTAATCCCTCCAGATACAACATGGAACAACTAAACTCAGGGAACCCTCACTGACTTGCAGAAGCATGGTCCCTACATTTTTGCTCTGATTTGTAAACCCACCCCCTCCCATCTCCTATGCTACTCTTGAACTTCTTGCCACAGCCTCTGGAGTGTGTTGGGATTACAGGCCTGCACCACCAAGTTCAGCTCTGAACTTTCATTTTAAAGAATGGACAGTAGGAAACGGGGGTGGGGTGTGTGTGGGGGGGTGTCAGCCACTCCAACCAGCACGGCCCGTTTCCTTGACAAGGAGACTGGAGGTCAGCATGGACACCCGCACAGAGGTAACTCTTGAGAGCCCCTCCTTGCTTACCGCTCTTCCTCATCTTGGACTGGCCTATACATTTCGTTCCTGTTCCCATTGAGACAACTTCCTTTGTCACTGAGAGGAAAAAAACAAATCATCAAGTGAACTCTCAGAGGCTGAATGCTTCCTAGTGTTCAGGTTTAATAAGTCCACATTTCTTCTTTCTCTGGAGGACTCCCACAGGTGGTCTCAACCAGGAGTGCAGGCCCCTTGGGGTGGTTTGTCGCCACCGGGAGTCGTGCGCCACCTGGTGGACATCATGGGAAACACCTAACACCATAGTTCCCAGCCAGCCAGCCCAGCACTGTCTCACCTGGCACTCCCTTATCGGTGGTGTCACAAGCTTGGTTGGCTGGAGACTGTATCTTCACCACGGCTGCCAACAGAGTCCATTCACGTTTTGGCTCAGGCTTCCCCTGTTTGGGCAGTCTGACACTATAGTGTGCGTAGCACAGCCGAGCAATCTCATCTGCCGTCCACATACCTGGAGCTGAGGCCCCCATCAAAGCCAAAACTATCAGAATAAAGGGAAAAGCAGTGTAAGACAGAGCCCCACTCGAGTGCTTCAGCAGACTGGAACGTAGCCGCAGAGTGCTCAGACTAAGGCTCATTTTCCCCTACCAATCTCCCTTCCCTCACGTCTTTAATAAAGAGAGAACCACAACTCCCACAAGACATGTCATTGCCTCGAGATGAAAACAAGTTATGCTATGACAGTTAATGAATCGGGATTTACTGTTTACACTGTCCTTTCAAATGTTACCTTGCTTTGGGCAGGTCTTCACCCTACAAAGTTACTTTCTGGACGATGTTCTTTTCCTCCTTTTTCCCCAACAGAAGAGTCAACCTCACTCCAGCAAATTTCCAGTCTTTCACTGGATGTTTTCACAACAGTGTACTTAAGGGTGTGGGCATGGAGTTGTACTTTCTAGGTTTCAATTCCAGCTTTACTGGTTAACTTCGTGATTATTGGGTAGATTAATTTTCACATTTGTTAAAACATGGATAATAGCTGGGCAGTGGTGACACACACCTTTAAGCCCAGCACTCAGGAGGCAGAGGCAGGCAGATCTCTCAGTTTAAGGCCAGCCTGGTCTACAGAGTTCCAGGACAGCCAACACTACACAAACTCTGTCTTAGAAAAACAAAAACAAGACTCACAAAAAACATGGATAATAAATAGGACGTAACATTTTTTTCCTTTTGGTTTTTTAAAAATAGGGTTTCTCTGTGTAACAGCCCTGGTTGTCCCGGAACTAGCTCTGTTGACCAGGCTGGCTTCAAACTCACCTGCCTCTGCCCCACTTACATAAAAACAAACAAAACATTAAGTGGATCAGATCTGAAAGAGGCCTGAGACAGTTTGCAGAAAGTCTCCTACTCTTGGCTGTCAGTGCTCACTGGGTATATCTTTACTCCACCTGATTCTATGGGCTCGTGTGGATAGACACAGCAGAGCATTTGAAGCATAAACAACAGAGTAGTTTTACTGAGCTCAGAAGTGATGTTTCTGCGAGGTATTTCTACATTTTCCGCAGTCGAAGGCCCGTTTTTGCAGGAAATGGTAATAATTATTCTGGCAAAGACTGACAGAAAGTTAAAGTTTAATGCAGAGAGGTGTTGTATTTTTCTTTCTTTTGGTTTTTCGAGACAGGGTTTCTCTGTGTAACAGTCCTGGAACTCGCTCTGTAGACCAGGCTGGCCTGGAACTCACAGAGACCTGCCTTCCCCTGCTTCCCAAGTGCTGGGAAAGTCTTGTAGTTCTAAGAACATTAACATGGGAGGTTCTAGAATCTTTAGTTCCTGGAAGGCAGCACAGAACAGTTTATTTTATGGAGTTAGAAATCTGCCATCATCCTGCAATTAGAGGTACATACTACAAACTACAAAAGCCAAGGGGAGGGAGCAGCCAAACTACATCACATCATCCAGGAAGCCTTCTGAAGGAGCACGCACGCGGTTGCTCAGTTTCATATTCTGGGTCCGCTGTAATTCTTGTCTACAACTCGCATCTAAAGACCTTGAAAAATTCCTTCAAACGAAGCAACTCCAACAGGCATCTCTTTGACAAATAACAGTCGCAAAAGGCTGAAAAACCCACTTCTTTTCCCACCCTTCCTACCCCGGAGGTGGGGTTCCGCGGGACAGGAGCGCCTAGCGGGACCGTGAGACCCCTCCCCGCGGGAGCAAGGACGCGTGTCCTCACAGCTCCTTCCCACACAAGGCCAGCTGTGTAGGCCTGGCCCCGAGATCCTGTTATCCACGCGCCACAGCCCACGCTTCTACCACAGCCTCCACACGAACCAGCCGCTACTGCCACAGAACCTGATTGTACAGCGGAAGTGACGCTAAACGACAGCTTCGCTCAAACTCCGCCCGCGAAGCACGCTGGTCTTTGAAGTCCTTGAGTGGGAGGGGAGTCGATTCTGCTCAGTTCTAGTCAAGATGTGCAGTAAGGTAAGGTTTCAAAACCCGACTTAGCTCTGATTTTTGAACATGACTATGATCAGATTCTCTGACCATTTCCCACCTCACTCAGAACAATTCCTGCATGACTGTCATAGGCTTGCATGACATGGCTCCTCATTCCTTTTCAGGGGTAACATCCCTTGTTACCATATATATATATATGAATGCATATCTAGCCCTTTGTCTATTGTATGTAAAACAGCACCACAGTCCTCTTACCCCATCAGTGTTGTTTCTTGGTGTGTGCCTCCATAAAAAAGAACATGTCTTGTTCACCCTCAACTTCCTACTCAAGCCCTAAAGAAAATGAAGGTAATTTTCATGGAAGTAGTGATTTGGTTTTTGTTTGCTGCTGTTTCCAGCATTCAGAACAATGCCTAGTATGAACTGGCTATAACTTTGTTCAAGACTACGACTGCAGATGGGATGGAGAATTGGCTCAGGAGTTAGAGCACATCTTGCTTTCGCAGAACTGGTTCACAGCATCCCTATTGGACAACTTAACAACTGCACGCAACTCCAGCTCCAGGAGATCCAACATCTCTGACCTCAGAGGGCACCTGTACTATGATGCGCACACACATAGTTAAAAACAAAAATAAATCTTAAAAGACAGCCAGAGTTCTTACACAGAGAACTGCTGTCTCAAAAAACCAAAATGAAACAAACAAAACAAATGTACAAAAACAGAGTCCTAAACATTCATTAGACCAGCAGTGTGGGGGAAAAAACGTAACATTACATAGGTAAAGAGAGAAATGGTTTATTTGGTAATAGGAATAAAAAGAAATTCTTTAAGTCTTCTCTCTTCTGGGGGCTGAACTGCAGTGCCCAGATGGATGGCAGCACAGGAACCCCTTAGAGCAGACCCGCTGGAGTGCAGAGGCCAGAGCTCCATTCATCTCCTAGACTGAGGGGCCGGCTGCTGTGCTCTCTAGGGTTTCAGAGGCCGCTGCAGTTTCCTTCTTGTCTTCAGGCTTCATGGCAGGAAACAGAAGTACTTCCTATAGGAGAGCAAAACATACTTTGAGATTAAGAAGCACCATGAGCGTGGAATAGTAGCACAAGTCTTTAATCTCAGCACCTGGGAGGCAGAGGCAGGCGGATCTCTGTAAGTTCAAGGCCACTCTGGTCTACAGAGAGAGTGCCAGGACAGCCTTCAAAGCTACAGAGAAACTGTATCTCAAAAAACAAAAATGAAAACAAAAAACCCAAAACAAAAGACACAAAGAATTTTTTACAGCTATTCTATTATTGATCTATCTATCTATCTATCTTTTGAGACAGGGTTTCTCTGTCCTGGCACTTGATTTGAGCTGAGATCTGCATGCCTTTTCGTCCCAAGTGCTGAGATTAAAGGTGTGCGCTACTAACCCCTGGTTCTACTGTTCCTTTTGTCTCTGTTATTACAGACCAAATCTAGAGATCTACACACCCTAGCCAAACCACCTGCACAAAACCTCCTAGGACTCCCTGTCAAGAGAATGAATCAACACAGGTTCCAGTAAAATTGACTTTCAGGGCTAGAGGTGGCTCAGCCGTTAAGAGTACTTGCTGTTCTTGCAGAGGACCAAGGTTTAGTTCTGAGCAGCTACCTGGTGGTTTATAGCCATTTGTAAACAAGCAGCTACCTTGTTTTAGGGGATTTGACAATCAGCTTCTGCAGGCACAAGGTACGCTTGTAGTATAAAATAATAATATGCATAATTTTTAAAACTTTATTATTAGATTTTTAAAAAGATTTATTTATTTATTATGTGTACACAGTGTTTTGCTGGTGTGTATGCCTGCACACCAGAAAAGGGCACCAGCTCTCATTACAGATGGTTGTGAGCCACCATGTGGTTGCTGGGAATCGAACTCAGGACCTCTGGAAGTGCAGCCCCTATTACTAGTTTTTTAAAATGTGAACTTCCTCCTAGGCATACATCAACACAATCTGAGTTCTGGAGGTAAAGGCAGGACTATCAGGAGTTCAAGGTACACTACATATGGAGTTCCAAGAGAGCCCTGTTGTGGGATATTTGTACACTGTATGCTGCTGTAACTGGTGTAATAAAACATGAATGGCCAATGGCTAGGCGGGAGGTATGGGCAGGACTTCCAGGTAGAGAGGAAGTAGGGTGGGCAGAATTGAGAGACGAGGTGTCAAGCCATGTGACTAAAGGCAGACGAGCCCAGCTACCTGAGACAGTCTCGACAACAGCAATGATAAATGAGCAACACATGGATTTCCTTCTCTAAAGTAAATAAACAGTTTCACACCTTACACAACTGACTGATACGAGGCAATACATTTGAGAGGACTTAGCATTTCCCTGGATATTAAAGAAAAGCAAACTTTTATTAGTATCCCTCCTGTCTCAAGTCAGAAAAACTAAAATCCTGTAAGGTCAGATACCCTTTAGTCTTCTACTGTAGAGTGGGTTATGGAACTTCTTCAGCGTTTCCTTATTTCCCAGGCGCTCCATGCTCTGCCTCCAGTGCAGTGGAGTTCTGGGGAAGCATGTATTGGGAGGTTTGTGCATACTGTTGTTAAAATGTTTAGGTTTATCCAGTAAGGAGACACAAACTGCGACTCAACGATCCCACGTGGAGTTTATTGGTGGACAGGGAGGGAAAAGTGGGGTGAGAGGTAACCAACCCGTGCAGAGCTGAGAGAGAGAGATAAGAGAGAGAGAATAAGAAAGAGAGAAAGCAAGAGAGAGAGAGAGAGAGAGAGAGAAAGAGAGAAAGAGCAAGAGAGTAAGAGAGCGTAAACAGGCAGGAGTCAGTCCTTTAAAGGGGTCCTTTGCACCTGCCTGGTTCTCACAGAACTCTGGGCTGGCCAGAGTGTTGCCTGAGCGCATCCTGCCAGGTAACAGGGCAGGCCAGAGTAATGCCTGAACCTTTCACATACCTTGATATTGTTGGAATCTGTGAGAAACATGGTGACTCGATCGATGCCCATGCCCCAGCCAGCTGTTGGGGGCAGCCCATATTCCAGGGCAGTACAGAAGTTCTCATCTATGAACATGGCTTCATCATCACCAGCAGCCTTGGCCTAGAATAAATAGAGTCAAGTGTAATAATCCTCTAGCCAGTGGCTCTCAACCTTCCTTAGGCAGCATCCTTTACGCTGCATGGCTTTAATGTAACAGCTCCGCGTGTTGTGGTAACCACCAGTCATAAATTATTTTCATTGCTACTTCAGAACTACAGCTTCGCTACTGTTATAAACTGTAATATAAATATCTGATGTGACCCCAAAGGGGCTGTAACCCACAGGTGGAAAGCTGCTGTTCTAGGTCATTTCAGCATCCATACAGACACATTCAAACTGTCAAAAGAGGTACCAGAGATGCTCCTGGCATTCAAGACTTGCTGGGAACTGATTTCCTAGAAACTCTATGTTAGGACTGACGAAACCTATCTCACGGATGAAAGCCATTTTTAAGTTGAATGTGATTTACATTCCTGTAGTTCCAACACTTGGAACGCTGAGGTAAAAGGACTGACGGGAATTGGAGACTAGTATGGTTTACACAACTAATTCCAGGCCAGCCAGGGCTAAACAATGAAATCTTGTCTCAAAAAGCCAACAGGAGCAGGTATCGTCATTTTATAGAAATAATATACAGTAATTAAAAAACATTTTTATTTTATTTTTTGGTTTTTCGAGACAGGGTTTCTCTGTATTGTTTTGGAGCCTGTCCTGGAACTTGCTCAGTAGGCTTGGTCTCGAACTCACAGAGATCCATCTGCCTCTGCCTCCCGAGTGCTGGGATTAAAGGTGTACGCCACCACTGCCCGGCCCACTTGTAATTCTAGTTCCAGGGGATCTAACTCCCTTTTCTACCCTTCTTTGAGTACTGTGTCCACGTGGTATAGGGATCCACATACTGGCAAAACACCTATATACTCAAAATTGCTTACTCTCCCTCATTACCTTGGCCTGTTCTTCAAACAGCTGCCGCTGCCGCACAGGATCATTCAGCTCAGTATAGGCATTGCAGATTTCTTTCTTCATGACAAACAGCTCAAAGCGTTCAGTTAGACCCTCTTTGGAGCGGTGCCTGGGAACATGAGACCACAGTGGATGAATATTCAGGGCCCTCATAATGTAATACCTGACTCAAAAATTGAAATGTGAAGCCTCTCAGTGCTCAGCACCCACCTATCACCAGAGTGAAGGCGAGAGAGGCCAGAGGGTTTGCAGTTGACTGAAATCAAGCCTTCTGCTTTGCTCTCATACTCTCTCTAGGTGCCTACTTGCTTTGGTCAATCAAGGAGGTATCAGCAAAGGTCTAGCATGTTTGCTTGCTGAGACTTTTTCTTTTCCTTTTTTTCAAGACAAGGTTTCTATTTATTGTTTTGGAGACTGTCCTGAAACTCGCTCTGTAGATCAGGCTGGCCTCGAACTCACAGAGATTCACCTACCTCTGTCTCCCGAGTGCTGGGATTAAAGGCGTGCGCCACCAACAACGCCCGATTTTTTTTTTTTAAAGACTTTTTCTTTTGGAACGCCTGCCCTGTGAACCCAACCACCATGCAGATAAAAGCCAGACTGAGTTATTGTATCAATACATGGTGCAAAAAGACCACTAAGTCAATGCAGAACATCATAAAACTGTCACTTCCCACATTCACTTCTGTTTTTGTTTGTGAACAGCAGTACTGAAGACTGAACCAGGGTCCTGAGCCATGTTAGCTAAATGTTCTGCTGTGTAGGTATAGCCCCAGCAGTCCCAGCCCTACTTGAGGGATTTTTATGCAGCAACAAAATGTATATTACCATTTGGCCAGAGGGCTCATAATCTGTGGGTGATCGCAGATGAAGGTAGGATTGATGCACGTCACTTCAAGGAACTCACCAACAAGCTTA